GCAAATGTGCCCTATAGTGAAAATCTCTCGAAAAGGAAAAAACTAATCAGTGAACCATAGCTACAAAATTCAGTGTGGATAAATATAAACATAATTGAGCTGAAAAAAAAAGTCATAAAGTATACATTCCATTCATTTCCATAAAGTATACATCTCCATTCATAAAAGTTGAGACTATACATATACAAACATTTTGACGTAGATATATATCTAGATAGATAGATACCATCATGCAAGGGCCCTCAAGGGTCTATAATGACACTCACAATTTTCTATTGCCTTTTTTTTAAGTCTATCTATTTCTCCATGATGGAGACAGAGAGAAAGAGACAGGCACCCTCCACAAAATCCTCATATCATGATCCTACCAGCAGCATCAGTCAGCCAGGCTCTCTGGCACACACACACACTTGGCATGCGCAGGGAGACCTTGGGACCCTCCCATATGGCCTCAGGATCATGGAGCATTGTCTTATCACTGTGTCAGACTGGATCAATTTTCTATTTCTTAAGCTAAGAAGTAGGTACATGGGTTTTATTCTGTATTATTTAAATTACATACAGTACTAATATATGTATGTGGCCTATTTAGTAATAATTAATAAAGAAAATCTAATCATATATCCTTTGACAATAATCCCATATCAAAAATTTTTCTTGGATGGGGCCAGCAGGTGATATAGTGGTTAAGGGTACTGGACTCCCATATGGCCAACCACAGTTTGAGTCCCAGACTTGGCAACTTGCTTTCTCACTTTCCATCTGTCTCTCACTCTGTCCTTCTCTGGTTGGTTGGTTGGTTGGTTATATACATATATACATACATACATACATTTAAATAAAATAATTCTTAAAAAAATCTTTTTCTCAGAAAACTGAACAAGTATGGGACCAGCAGATGGTATAATGGTTACATTGCTGGATTCCCATATGGTTGACTACAGTTCAAGTCTTGGACCAAGCGGCTTAAAATTCACTCCAAGTGTCTGTGCATGTGTACCCAAGATCCTGACAGGGGAATAGAGGAGAAGGGATTATGGTGTGGTCATCCCCTAGAGGGTGATTTCTCACTTTGTGTCTCTCTGTTTGCCTCTCTCTCTGGTACATGCCCTATAGCAAAAATCTTTCTTAAAAAACAAAAAAACTGCACATTGGGTAGAGAAAGTAGGGAGGGCTGGAGGAAAAGGTGAACTGGAGAGAGGTATTGACAGAGATGTTTCCAATGACAGAATATTAGTCCTCTAGGGATACTATGCTCTAAACCCGTCTCCAAGACTTTCAAAATATTTAGACAAGAAGCCATTTTAAAGCTGAGGTGTGTCCTGGTGCATTCAGGGAAGCCATGCTCTAAGTCCATGTCCTAGACTCCCAAAATATTCAGACAAGATAGGCTTCGGTGCACAGTAGGCAAGCATCTGAATCATTTTAGAGTAATTGAAATCCTCAACACTTATTGAACCTCCTGCTTTAATGGAGAAATTTCTTTCTATAAATATGAACTCTTAATCTTACTGTTGATACCACATTGCTAAGCACTGTAGAGGAGAGATTTTGTAACAGAATGACCAGAAACAATAGCAGAGGCACAAGAAACATAAGAAACCAAGAAAATATCTCTCCCCTAAGGGAAAGATATTTCCTTCATAATCTACAGACAGTACAATAGAATTCATGGAAATGTCTGATAAAGACTTCAGAATATTCATAGTGACAAAACTAAATGAGATGAAAGAGCTGAGAGATAATGAACTCCAGATGATGATGGAGAAAAGAGACGAGTTCCAAGAGGTGTTGAAGTTCTTTCATGATCTGAAAGAGGAAATACACACCATGAAAACGAATCAAATGGAGCTATTAGAGATGAAGGCTGCCATTCAGGAAATCAAAATCTCCCTCGAAAATATTAAAAGCAGATTATTCCATGCAGAAAATGGAATCTAGGATGTTGAAAGCAAAACTTCTGAGCTAGAAAAAAACAACTGGAAAAACTGAGAAAACAACCCCCAAAAATGAGAATACTCTACAAGAAATACTAGAGAGCATTAAGCACCCAAACATTTGGATAATTAGTATACTAGAAGGTGAGGAAACTAATAAGGGCATTGATTGGATAATTAGTATACCAGAAGGTGAGGAAACTAATAAGGGCATTGATAATCTATTCCATGAAATCTTGGAAGAAAACTTTCCAAATCTAAAGAGGCATTCAAATATCCAGACCCAAGAAATACAAAGGACCCCTAATAGAATCAACCCAAGAAGATCTTCTCCAAAGCACATCATAGTCAGACGAGTCAAATCTATAGATAAAGACAAGATACTAAAATTGGCAAGAGAGAAAGGTCAGGTTACTTACAAAGGTTATCCAATCAGGCTAACCTCAGACCTCTCATCAGAAACAATGCGAGCAAGAAAAGAATGGGAAAATATATTCAAAGCGTTAAGTGAAAAACAGTTTCAACCAAGAATACTATACCCAGCAAGATTATCTTTCATATGGAAAAAAAGAATAAACAACATTCACAGATAAACAAGACCTGGAAGAATTTGCTAACAGCAGACCCACTCTTCAAGAAGTTCTGAAAGGAATGCTCAACCAGTAAAACTAAAGATACAGAAATAAGAGAACAAAAGGCAACCAAGAAAACGACCAATTTAATGCTAGGGACAAGAAATATCAATAACAACATAGAATGTTAACTTCCAGGATTTAAATGGAAAGACTGGACCACAGCAACACTGCATATTCAACAGAAGAGAGTTTGAACATAAGACTGAACTGGCAAAATAGAATTTTATGATTTTTGAGTAAAACATTACTGATTATTTTTACTATGCTTTATTTTCCCAATTTAAACAGCTTACTTTCTTTT